TTCCCAGAGCCTGACCAAGGAGCAGTACCTGCTGGGGGTCCAGCGGGTGGGCGCAGGCAAGAGTTGGATCCAGCAGGGTTCTGTCTCCAGCTGGGGCATGCCTCTCGGGTGGCCCTGGGAAGTATCACCATGGAGGCTGGGGCAACCCCCCCCCCCCCGCCCAGGGGGGGCCCGCCCCCCCAGTCCAGCGGCTGCCCAGCCCACCGATAGCTCATCCCCTGACCACAGGAGATGTGGGCAGGCTCCATGGAAAAAAAAAAGATCAAGCCCCTAGCCATAACAGTGATGGAAGCCCCTAAATTGAAACAGTGGGTTTTTAATTGTTGCAATTAAAAACCCACCATTTCGGTTTAGGGGACTAAACCCCTGCTAGGTGTACAAGCACCCCAGGTGTCATTGCTCTGTTTTTTGTGTCCATTGACACTCACATTCCAATTTTATTTTGATGGTGACAAGACCATAGATCTTCAAACAAGTGCGTTGTCTTTGAGGCTTTAAGGACTGCCTGTAAATTTACAGGTAGTGGCAGCCTACTACTAGATTATAGGTTGATTTGGGTGGAAGCATTCATCTCTGCTCCTTGTGTACAGGGGCACAGCTTCAACAAAGAATTTAAGATTCATGCTGAGAGAGCATAACTCTGTAGTTTAGTGTTTAGGGGACATATCTGAAGCAGACATTAAAATAAAGGCATGATTAGGATCTGAGGAATTTTATGCCCCATTTCAAAAATCTGCAACCTGGGATACTATGTGAGCATTGGGATGCAACATGGAGAAGCCCCATGTTTGGGACACATCACACATTCAGTTTAAGGTTCAATATAAACCAGTTACAAAGACAGTCCACATTTTAATGTGATATTCCAACGAATGTAGATTATTTTTGTGGGTAGTTTCTACCTCTCTGGCCGCATATGGCCCCAGGCCCTGGGCCCAAAGCCCCTGCGCTGGGCAGCAGCCCTAGCCCTGCCCTCCCCAACTTCCTCGCTATGGGGACCTCAATCCCCCCTCCCACTGGACTTACCTGTAGGAGCTGCTCTCTAGGCTGCCTGGCAACCATGTGTGCATGTGAGCATGCAGATACACATGCATGTGATGCCCCCTACCTGACCTCCCTCCTCCCACTCCTCCCAGCCCTTTTCAGGCCTTTCCAGATTGTTCTTCGCAGAAGTGGAAAATCCACATCTTTCTCCATTAAAATGAGTAATCCATGGTTTTCTCAGTTAAAAGGGAAAAGCGTGGTATTTTTCTGTGGGAAATAGAAAACCTGGATCCCTGCTCATGAGTTTATGTGCACCTAGGGCAAGTATCAACTGTCTTGAAGGATAAACAACAGTGATGAATCAATGAATATGAAGTGAAATTGCTAGGTGGATGAATGTGTGAGGTTAGAACCTATAAAACAGTGATTCTCAACCTTTTTTGTGCTGCGAACATATTCAATTTTAATTTAAATATTTAAATTTAAATTTACATGCTTTAATTTAATTTTTTACATGGGGGGGTTGCAAGGATCAGGTTGGGCTGGGGCACTGCAGCCACAGGCACTGGGGGACCCTGCAGGGGAAGAGCATGTGCAGGAGGTGGCCCAGGGGGACTCAGCTGGGGCTGCCTGGGAAGAAGGGACTCTGCTGCCTTCCCTAGCAGCAAGCAGCAGAACCGCCTCCCCACCCTCCACCCTGGGCATTTCCCCACCCATATCACCCTGCTCCCATCCATGGGTGGGGCTGGGGGGGCAGGGTCCTGCCTGGCTCAGCACAGGCCCTGGTACTTGCTGCACAGGCAGCACCTCACCGGGCACAGCCATGGTGGTAGAACCAGGACAAGAAGCACAGAACCACCTGCCTCCCTCCCAGGGCTGCCCCGCCACCCAGCTTTAACCCTGCTCATGATTGCTGGCAGCCCAGCAACCAAACCTTTGTGTCCTGGTACCAGGCTGTGGGCTGCTGTTTGGGAATCTCTGCTATAAAAGATCCCTTAAAGGTGGTATCTCTAACTATTCAATTCCATAATGCCTGGCCAGAAGGCATAAGCCTCCTTTCCACAGCTGGCCCTTCAAGGAGTAAAGAGTTTGTGGGGCAAAGAGCCCAGCAACATCTAGCTCAACTAGACAGGACATAGACAAGCAGACAGAACCTAGTCAGCCAGCCAGAGGGTCTGCAAATTCCTTTCATCTAAGCTGAGCCACTAGTCTCACTAAAAGCTCTTTTTCCAGCTGTTATAAATACCCCCTTAGAAAGAATGAGAAAATCCACAAACATCTTAAGTACTTTTTTCTTTGTTGTTTTTCTTTTTACCAGCTAAGAGATGTCTGCTGGGTTAGAGGGGATGGGGTTGTGAGGATGGGTAATGGGTAGTGAAGCATCTATAGAAAATGACTGTCTTCATGTGGGTTCTGAGAGCAGGACCTTTAATCTATTTGAAACCTGCTACGTTAAAGATTTCATTTGCAAGTCTGAGTTATGGCAAGGGCTTAAGTAATGCTGCATTGCTTATGAGAGGAAGAATTGCAGCTGTGTAATAAATGACGTCTGGCAAGGCACCCACAAGTAGCATTGTGATCATAAACTAAATGATTGCACATTAGAAAGAGGCGGTGATTCAGACCTCTCTGTCCTAGCCATTTGGCTGGAATATATGTAAATTTAGATTAATTGACACTGATGATGTGTTTGTTTAGGGATTTATGGGCTAAATTATTTGTAAAGAGTTCATATGAGGATAGTTAACTCATTTGATTTTAATCTGTAGTTTAGTTACTTCAGTTATGTGCAATATGTTTGGTTAATAATGTAGCTCTTAGATGTTTTTAAATTAAAATATCTTGTCAAGTTAGATGTGTGACCCAAGTATCAGGGCCCCTTAAGGATCCCAAAGACTTAAAGATATTTAAAGAGACAATTAACTTAATGGTAAGATCATTATTACCCTTAAAATCCCTTACTGTTCCCTTAAAAGCTTTGTGTGCATGTTGGTGGGAAGTTTCTGACCCTCAGTAAAACTGTTCCAAGAATGGAGAATGGCTAGTCTATTTGTTGTACTTTGTTAGGTGGAAAGGAAAGGAAAGGAAAGGAAAGAGTCTTTAGGGAAAGTGTGTTTTTTAAGTGTTTGATGTCCGCGTGGTAGGTTCTAACATCTTTTCTTGTCTGGCTTCCTAGCCTGAGTTTCTGTCTGTCTGTCTGGGTACATATAATGTCTTTATAGATCTGTTTTGTTGGGGTTTTTTGCACAAGACTAACCACTTGAAAATTGTTTTTGCAAACATTATAGTTGTAGTTTTAGACATATTTTGGAAAATACAGCTGGCACGTTCACTGCTTGTTCTGTGCTTCCTTCCATTCCTGCTGCCTCACCCCCTAAATGGACTGCAATCGTAAATAAAAATTGCTGTTTGATCTGTTAAGAATGAAATATCATTCCAAGACCCTGTTCTAGAGAACTGCCTATTTAATACTGCCTTTTTCTCCCATTACTAAATCCTGCCCTTGTCCCCCACACCCAGTTTGGATAAGTGAAGAGCCTGAAAGGTCAGATGTTGCACAGGCTAGAAGAGGGTGCAGCACAGGTGGCACAAGTGGCACAGGCAGCTTCTGTGTGGCATGTGGCATATCAGAGAGGGGACAGGAAGCAGAGAGTCAGATAGGGAAGGAAGCAGAAAGCAAAGCAGTAGATCAGGCATGGAGCACAAGGCTGAAGCAGAAAGCAGAGCAGCAGGTTGAGCAGGGGAAGGGGATCCCACTGGCACTTAGGGATCGTCAGGCTTTTCCCAGAGCCTGATGAAGGGACTTTGATCCCAAAAGTTTGCAGAAAAGGACAGTTTTCTTGCCATCTTCCAGTTGGTCTAGTAAAAGGTATCATTTTGGAACCAAGAGGTCTAGTTTTTTGTATGGCTTATGCACTTTATCTCTTTAGGAGCACAGACAGTAGACATAATAAGCCCCTGGTTTTGAGATCCTGAAACTGAATGACTAGAATTTGTTGCTGCTATCTGTGGGGTGGTGGAACTTTAAACATTGCTGATATCACGTAAAGAAAAAACAGCATTGTATCCAGGAAAATGCCTTTGGGGACTATTGCAACATGTTGCCTCAGAAATGCTTGAATGGATCTATTTTAGTTATCCCATTTTATTCACATATTTCACTTCTTAAAGCATGGAATCAAGAATGGCTTTAATCTTGATGGAAGCAGCTTTAGTGAATTCTTATCAGCCACTAGTGAATATGTATATTGTAGAATTTTAACTATATTTTTCATTTTAAGGTGAAATTGAATGACCTGAAAATGGATGGGTTTTCTCCTGCGTTACCAGTGACCATTTTAGAACAGGCTGCATTACAGCTAGGATGCAGCCCAGCAGATAAGAAACTTGCTTTTCACTTAGATGAAGAAGATGAACTAAACCACCTTCGCGAATGTTTCTATATCCCAAAAGTCAATGATCTGCCTCCAAGTAAGAATCTCAATTATATTGGGGGATTTAGCATCTTCTGCATATGTTTATCATAAATCTTTGGCAGTCGTTGCATTTATTAGATAATGGAGCAATTGAAGTCATATCTGAGCTTAGTATCTCCCTGGTGTTGCAAAATCAATCCATCAACTTATTCTAGCACCAAATCTTCATGCTCTCATTCCCATCTTGAATAAAAAGTGAAGATACAGTATATACATGGTGCTTATACTGTCAGATGCTTTGAAGAATATAATGACTAATTGAAAATTATAGGCAGAAGCATTTCTTTTTAATGGATTGAACATGCAATGTCTCTAAGAACTCTAAGCAGTATGTGCTAAGTGTCACAACCCAAAGTTGTGAGTTTTTGTTTGTGTGTGCTTCGGCACTGCTAAATTATGTTCCCGCTAAATTGCAGCTTCTTTGCACGGTGGAGTTCTCTGCTACAGAGAAGAACTCTGGTGCAACGGAGAATTTTCCTGCCAATTTGTAGCTTTCTTTGCATGGTGCATTTCTTTTGCATCTCAGAAATGCACGGTGCAAAGGAGTTCCCGCCATTCGTATTCTAATTTAGCCCCACTATTGGCCGATTCTAAATTATGCACACGTGGCGGCTAGCAATTGGCTTGCTAGCCGTATAAAGAGCTTGGGTGGTTTCCGCCCAAGTTGGAGAATCTTCACACTGTGTGAAGATCTCTAAGCGCTGCAGATCCTTACGGACCCAACGCATTTCTTAAGAAGGCAACAGAGGTCTAAACAGCCTCTGGCCTCTCCCCGTCGCCGAGCGCAATCCTAGA